GATTTTTTTTTTAAAATTCATCAGCTACCGTTAGCGTTAATGTATTTTATGTGTGGCCCAAGAAAATTCTTCTTCTTCAAATATAGCCAGTGTAGTACTGGTCCGTGGCCCAGTGGATGGGGACCCCTGGTTTAAACCACACGAACTTGAGGCATTATCGAGTTTAAGTCTCACCCAACTCCTACCCATCTAGTAGGGCAGAGGATCATGAAGAAAATTATGTACCTTAAAGGGAATAGATCATTACATTTTTAAAAAACAACTTTGAGGCTGGGTACAGTGGCTCATGACACTTGGGGAGGCTGAGGCAGGTGAACTGCTTGAGCCCAGGAGTTCTAGATGAGCTTGGGCAACATAGGGAGACCCTGTCTCTACCAAAAAATACAAAATTAGCCAGATGTGTTGGTGTTCACCTGTAGTCCCAGCTACTGGGGAGGCTGAGGTGAGGGGATTACCTGAGTCCAGGAAGTCGAGGGCAAAGTGAGCCGAGATCACGCCACTACACACCAGCCTGAGTGACAGAGTGAGACCCAGCGCCATAAAAACAGAACAAAACAAAACAAGAACGTTGAATAGGATGTGTGTTAATTCTGAGATGGCGTCCAGGCTTAGGAATGATCCCGAGGCTTAGACCCGTATCCAAGAGGACGATTCCAGCCTGGTACTTCTAGGTTCCTCAGGCACCTCAGATGCACCCTGTCCTGAATTAAGCCCTTTGTCCTTGAACCTGCTTTCCTTGGTAAACAGCACCAAGGGGGCTAGAAACCTGGGGGCTGCCCTTATCTTCCCTCTCTCACCATGCACCTCTAATGGGTGGCTGGACTTGTGGTTGCATTTCCATGATCTCCCAGCTTTCTTCCAGTGATGGCCTTAGGTGGGCTCTTATCCTGTCTCCCAAATGGTCTCTCTGCCTTGAGTCTCACCCCATCAGCTCTCAGTCCACCCACTCAGCTATTCCAGAGACCATTCTGACTCCCTGTGGACGCCCCTCTGGTGGCTTCTCATCTCTCTCAGTTAGAAATTGCTTTTGACCGCATGTTAACAGAAATCTGGCTATGCTATTTAACCAAATAAAGGTTTTTCTCATGTGATGAAAAGTGCACAGATAAGCAGCCCACTCCCATTGATAACCATTGAGGGTTTCTTATGACTTACAGCAATGAAATGTGTATTTACAGTATAAAGATATACAATTTTAAATTTTAATAAAATTGGGCCTAAGCACAGTGTTTTTTGTTTTTGTTTTTAACTGCCCAGGTGATTCTACTGTGCAGCCAGGGTTGACAAACACTGCATCTAGGCCCAGTGCCTTTGATTTGCAGCTGAGGTCTAGAGAGAATTATTGAAACTGTAGTCCCGGCTACTTGCGAGGCTGAGGTTGGAGAATCGCCTAAGCCCAGCAGGGTGAGGCTGCAGCGAGTCAACACTGCACCACCGCACTCCAGCCTGGGCGACAGAGTGACACTCCACCTCAAAATAAATAAATAAATAAATAAATAAATAAATAAATAAATAAAAAAAAATAAAAATTTCTGGTCTACCTTTTTGCCCACCTTTTATGCAAAGAGGTCCCCAAACATGAATTTTCACTCTTAGGGAGGCTGAGATGACACATTATAAGCAAGCGGTTTAGTCATCTGCATGTGCCATCTGATTTGAGGCATCTATTCCTCCTCACCTTTCCTGACAAAATTGGACTGTCTACATGTGCCACATGCTCCTCTTTCTCTAATTCATTCCTTCCTTCCTTCCTTCCTTCCTTCCTTCCTTCCTTCCTCCCTCCCTCCCTCCCCTTCCTTCCCTTCCCTTCCTTCCCTCTCTTCCCTCCTTTCCCTCCCTCCTTTCTCTCTCTTTTATGTCTTTTTTCTCTTTCTTTCCTTTCTTTCTTTCTCTCCCTCCCTCTCTCCCTCTTGTTCTTTTTTTCTTTCTTTCTTTCTGACAGGGTCTTGTCTGTTCTGCTTCTTTAAACCCTGGGGTTCAAGCGCAAAGGTCCCTCTCATCTGATTTCCCGATTTTATTTTATTTTATTTTTTAAGTTAGATACTCCAGGATGATGATGATCATTGTTGTTGAGACAGGGTTTCATTCTGTTGCCCAGGCTGGAGTGCAATGGTGCGATCACGGCTCACTGCAGCCTCAACATTCTGGGCTCACGTAATCCTCCTACCTCAGCTTCCCAAGTAGCTTGGACTACAGGGGTGTACCACCATGCCCGGCTAATTACATGTAGCAGATTCAATCTATGTTCCAGGGTTCCAAACCACCCAGGCTCTAGCATCCTGCCTTAACAAATATACCTTCATAAAGACTTGGAAGGCAGGTTCAAATGTGGAATTCTTGGACTTCTTTCAGTTCTGTGTAGGAGGGTAGCAGTGGAGAGCTGGCTGCCTGCCCGCTCCTGGCCCTTCCCCCTTTCCCCACCCCTGCTCTTTGCGGCACTGGGCAGGGCCTATGTTTAAGGCTAGCAGTGTACTCAATGTGGGACAGTCCCTGTGTGGCCTGTTCAGGATCCTATACCCAGGCTCAGGGCTCTTTGGGCAGGAAATTCCAGGATCCTGGTACTCAAGTGATGTTCTAAACAGTGGTTCTTGGCTGGGCGTGGTGGCTCACACCTGTAATCCCAGCACTTTGGGAGGCCGAGGCAGGCAGATCACTTGAGATCAGGAGTTTGAGATCAGACTGGCCAACATGGTGAAACCCCATCTCTACTAAAAATACAAAAACGTAGCCAGGCATGGTGTGCACACTAGTCCCAGCTACTTGGGAGGCTGAGGCAGGAGAATCACTTGAATCCAGGAGGCGGAGGCTGCAGTGAGCCGAGATCACACCACTGCACTCCAGCCTGGGTGACAGAGTGAGACTCCATCTCAAAATAAATAAATAAATAAATAAATAAATACAAACAGTGATACTTAACTGGGAGTGATTTGGCAACATCTGGAATTATTTTTGGTTATCCCAGCCCGGCAGGGAGGGACAGGGTATTACTGGCATCTAGTGAGCAGGGGCTAGGGATTCTGCTAAACATCCTACAGTGTACAGGACAGCCTCCACAGCAAAGAATTGTCTGGCCCAAAATGTCCATAGTGCCCAGATTCGACGCCCTGCATTAGGAAGACACAAATACTCTTAAATATCACAGAGTAAAATTTCTTACCCCTGTTCTAGGAGAGATGATGTTCTTGGTGGGAGCATCTTCTTGGCTTCGACACATTCTTTTCTCCATGGGAGATGATGCCAGAAGAGGGACAGAATAGGGCCCTGTAAAGTATGGGGCCCAGGGCCTGGCACCCCCTGTTCAGGTGTGAGGACCGTCCTAGGAAGGCACCACCCAGGCATCATTAGACCATCTCAAAAGAAAAGTAATTCACTGTCCCAAAGCAGCGCTCTTGTGTCTGTGGGCGGCTCCCTTGGCAAGTTTACAATGAACTGAACTCGGCCAAACTTCCTGGAACCCAGAGAAACTTCAGCCTTGGGCAAAGGCCGTTTGGCCAGCATTTGCACTGTTTATGCAACCGTTTAGAATATACGAATTATCTGGAAACTACTACTAAATACAACACGCAAAACTGCAAATATGTATACTTCCTAGAGGATGATAAAAAAAATGTGAATTGTGTTTTCTCTGATAGAGGATGCATTAGAGTCTGAGGGTCTAAATAACATAAATAATAAATAAGTAAATAAATAGATAGTAGTGTACTCCAAACGAGGCTGGAATAGCTTCTATCGTTGTTTCACGCTGGACTTGAATTAAGTCTGAGTATTTTGCCATGCTCAGTACGAAATACTAGGCTGGACGTGGTGGCTTATGTCTGTAATCCCAGCACTTTGGGAGGCCGAGGTGGGCAGACTGGCTTGAGCTCAAGAGTTTGAAACCAGCCTGGGCAACATGGTAAAACCCCATCTCTACCCAAAATACAAAAATCAGCCAGGTGTGGTGCCACATGCCTGTGGTCTCAGGTACTTGGGAGGCTGAGGCAGCAGGATGACTTTTGAACCCAGGAGGTCGAGGCTGCAGTGAGCTATGATCGTGCCACTGCACTCCAGCCTGGGTGACAGAGCAATACCCTGTCTCAAAAATCAAATAAACAACCCCTTCGCCCCGGACAAAAGTAGTTTGTACTATTTTCTCATTTCATCAAAGTTTTTGAAATATTTCCCTTGAAAGGTAAGTCATATTTATCATTCCTGTTGTATGGAGACATCACAAATTATTTCACCATTCTACCCTCCTTGAGTGTTGTGGCCTTGGGGCCAGGCAAAAACGCAGGAGATGCCTAGAAGCCAACTAGTTGCCGTTTTGGTTATCTGTGGGGCTGTAGCGTTGCCAAACAGGAAAAATATAAAAAGAATACCGAATTCTGCCAACCAAATAAGAAACTATGTGCTAAGGACTAAAACAACTGCAGGGGAAGAAAAGGTGAGGCCAGGGATTGAGGTGTAGCGACTTTCTATGCCCTCAGAAAATTAAAAAACAAGACAAAAAAAAAAAAAGAAAACTACAAAAGCATCCATCTTGGGCCGTCCTAATTTCTGAGTAACAAATGAGATGCTGTGGCGAAAGTCAGTCATAACCAATGACATTTCTAGACAAAGTGACTTCAGATTTTCAAGGCGTACCTTGTTTACATCATTTTGCCAATTTCGCGTCCTGCAACCGTCGGGCCACGCCCCCGTGAAAAAAAGGCTGTGTTTTTTTCCACATTTCGGGGTTCTGGACCTTTCCCGGCTGCGGGGCGGGGGGAAGTCTGAGGCGCACGCGGCCCCTTGGCCCCGCCCCCAGTCATTTCCTGCCACTCGCGTCCCGAGGCTGCCGCAGGGGGCGGGCTGAGCGCGTGCGCTGTGACTGGTTTGGGGCCAGAGTGGGCGGGGCGCGGAGGTCCGGCCTATAAAGTAGTCGCGGCGCCGTGGTACCGCTTTGCGGCGTAGTCTCCTGCAGCGTTTGCGGTCAGTCTCGCAATATTCGGAAGCAGGACCGCGGCGTGGCCTAGCAAGTCATGGCGATGAAGGCCGTGTGCGTGTTGAAGGGCGACAGCCCAGTGCAGGGCACCATCAATTTCGAGCAGAAGGCAAGGGCCGGGGCGGAGGCTTGTTTGCGAGGCCGCTCCCGCCCGCTTGTCGCCCCGAGCACCTGTGCTAGGAGCGGGTGGCCAGCCAGGCCTCGGGACCGCCCTGGTCCCGCGCCCGGCCTCGGCCCGTGCCGCCCGGTCGGTGCCTTTGCCCCCAGCGGTGCGGTGCCGGCTAAGTGCTGAGTCATCGGGCGGGCCCGGGTGCGGGGTGTGGGACCGAGGCCGCCGCGGGGCTGGGCCTGCGCGTGGCGGGAGCGCGGGGAGGGATTGCCGCGGGGGCGGGCGTGGGCGTGCTGCCCTCCGGGGTCCGTGGGCGGCCGCCGCGGGCTCTGTCGTGGTGCTTGGAGCAGCTGTGCTCCTCCCTTGCTTGGCTGTGTTCTCGTTCCTGAGGGTCCCGCGGACACCGAGTGGCGCAGTGACAGGCCCGGCCCGGGGTGGCGACTGCGCCTGGGCCCGGCTGGTGTCTTAGCATCCCTCTCCGCGTTCCGGCTTCAGCGCTCTGGGTCAGGGAGTCTCCGCTTTTGTACAGCTCTAAGGCTAAGTATGGGTTTTATATTTTTAAAAGGCTTTGGTAAACAAAAATACGCAACAGAGACCGTTTGTGTGACACTTTGCAGGAGTTTGTTGGCCTCTGTTCTAGGTCATGGTTGGGCTGCAAGGGCAGAGAAGGTAGCCTTGGATAGAGGTCCTTTTCCTCCTCCTAAGCTCCGAGAGCCAGAGTTTTAACTGACCGTTTTGGGGACTTTCGAGGGCAATGATTCTTAACTTTGGGTGCACAATTAGCTTATTTGAAGATCTTACTAAAAATACACCAGAGCCCAACCTCAGACCAATTACATCAAAACCTGTCCCAGCGCAGGTGATTATTGCTGTTTTTTAAGTTTCCAAATGTGATTTTGATGTGCACCTACGATTGAGGACTGTTGTTTGAGGACAGTGGGTGGGGTTTGGGATTTGGAAATTGGGAAGACCTGAAGTTTCCATTACACGGAATTGGTACTTAGTAACTCTTGTCGGAGCATTTCTTAAGCCACATTTTCTGTGAAGTGGCTTTAAAATTGCTCTGCCAGTAGGCAGGTTGCTAAGATGGTCAGAGACAAACTTCTGAACGACTCTTGTAAAATGTAGTACAGAAATATTTTCATAACTATTATCAGTAAAATTGCAAAACGTCTTGCAAGGAAGGTGCTTGTGATAACACTGTCCCCAGAGCCTTAGTGAAGTTACCAACTGGTGGAAAATTGTCTGGTACTCGGCTTAAAAGTCATGAGAGAATATTTATCATATGAATGAGATTCAGTCTTTAAAGGGGTTTACAGAAAGGTGAGAGGACAGGAACAGTTAGTCTGTGCAAGTGTCTGAAATGTGTATGAGGGAGATACGAGTTTAGCTTTTTTCTTTAATACGTCTCCAGATTTTCTGGAAAAGGTTTTTTGGCATTTGACTCCATTTTGCTATTTCATTTGTCAGACTTCGTTTTGTCCCTCTTTACTTATTCCCACATAATTCACTAGTACTAGTGCTGTGTTTTGTTTCTGAGACCGAGTCTTGCTCTCTTGCCCAGGCTGGAGTGCAGTGGCGCGATCTCGGCTCACTGCAACCTCCGCTTCCTGGGTTCAAGCAATTCTCCTGCCTCAGGCTCCCGGGTAGCTGGGATTACAGGCGCGTGCCACCACGCCCAGCTAATTTTTTGTATTTTAGTAGGGACCGGATTTCACCATGTTGGCCAGGATGGTCACGATCTCTTGACCTGGTGATCCACCCGCCTCGGCTTCCCAGAGTGGTGGGATTACAGGCGTGAGCCACCGCGCCCGGCCACCAGTACTAGTCTTAAGACGCCTCTGTGGAATTCCTTCTCCCTGGCCTTTGAGAATCCATGCATGAACCCAGGTTTCTGTCATTTTCCACCTTCCCTGAGCAGCGAGCATAGTTCCTTCTTTTAAGCGCCTGACTTCGTTTTGGTTGGTGCCCCTTGTACCTGAGAAAGAGCCTTGGATAGTGGAGCATTCCAGCTTTCCAGATATGCAGAGATAATAAATTGGCTATAAACTACCTGGCGTGGCCTATTCCGTGTTTAAAATCTTAGACTCGTGGCTAGTTTTTACAAATCAGAATCTTTCACCTAATAGTCCAGTTTTCCTAGCTTCTCTTGAAGAATTGTTGGAGATCTCTTCATACTGAGCCTTCATTAGCCCAGGACAGTACTGCTGGAGCTTTCCAGGCCTGTGTTACTCACTTGAGTTCACAGCCTGGTCCCTGTAGGGTTGTACCTAAGCACAGCTACTTACATGTTCCCAATGTATTACCCGTTAAATGGAGGTTTGAAAGAACCTCCTCTTTTTGGCCCTGTGCTCTTGATAACACAGCATATTTGAGGGACAACTTTCACATTTGAGTTTTTCCAAAATTAGAGGTTGTAGAAGAGTCACAGTGTCTATTCTGAAAAAGAAAAGAATTTTTAAAAGGCCGCAATTGCCAGAATCCTTCGTTTGAGCAGTGGTATTTTCCAGTGGAAAGTCATGTCTTAAGGGTTAATGCCCCTTAACTGTTGTCCCTCTTTGAAAACCAAGCTAAAAACAAGAGACACAAACATGTATGACGGTGTGGTGTGGATGATGTGTTTATTTTAGTCCTGAGATCTACTCGTAACGTCCTTGATTTCTGTATGTAGCCACGGAGCACCATTACCTGTCACCATTGCCTGAATGGCGATACTGCTTGCTTGCTTTTTGGTAGAGTGGAAAGGTTATCTAGGTTTCAGTGCTTGAAAAGATTTCAGAAAACAGTAGTACCTCTGGTTAGACTAGAATCAGTCCTCTCCTGAGGGCAGTGAAATAGGATATTTTCTGACTGCTAATTAAAAATACCTATGATAGCCAGACGTGGTGGCTCACGCCTGTAATCCCAGCAGTTTGGGAGGCGGAAGGGGCGGATCACGAGGTCATGAGATCGAGACCATCCTGGCTAACACGGTGAAACCCCGTCTCTGCTAAAAATACAAAAAATTAACTGGGCTTGGTGGTGGTTGGCGCTTGTAGTCCCAGCTACTCAGGAGGCTGAGGGAGGAGAATGGCATGAACCTGGGAGGCGGAGCTTGCAGTGAGCCGAGATCATGCCACTGCTCTTCAGCCTGGGCGACAGAGCTAGACTCCATCTCAAAAAAAAAAAAAAAACAAAAAAACTTTGATGGAAACTTAAAAACACACACTGAGTGGGGAGTGGAGAGCAGGGGTCCTAGGGTAGCCTGTTGGACGTCTCCAGGGTGCCTTTTTCTTTGTTTTAAAGTGTGTATGCTGTATGGAAGAGTGTCTATATGGAGAAGCAGCAAGGGGCTAAAGAGCATATGATGAGACATACACCTTTTGGGTTAAAAAGGCTGAGGCAGGAGAATGGCGTGAACCCGGGAGGTGGAGCTTGCAGTGAGCCGAGATCGCGCCACTGCCCTCCAGCCTGGGTGACAGAGCGAGACTCTGTCTCAAAACAAACCAAAAAGGTTTACGTGTACATGTATATTCAACATGTACAAATATGACCTATTCAAGTGTCTACTAAATAGGTACTTATATTACATATTTACTGTAATAGTCAAACCCTATGAAGTATCTAACTCTGATGTGTAGGTACTCACTTTGCTTACCACTCTATTTGGTGCTTTTTATGTTTAATCACGAAGCCTGGCCACAGGGCGCTTGTGCATTGAGTGTGGGAACAAGATTACCATCTCCCTTTTGAGGACACAGGCCTAGAGCAGTTAAGCAGCTTGCTGGAGGTTCCCTGGCTAGAAAGTGGTCGGCCTGGGATTTGGACACAGATTTTTCCACTCCCGAGTCTGGCTTCTTTTTACTTTACTGTGAGGGGTAAAGGTAAATCAGCTGTTTTCTTTGTTCAGAAACTCTCTCCAACTTTGCACTTTTCTTTGATTAAAGGAAAGTAATGGACCAGTGAAGGTGTGGGGAAGCATTACAGGATTGACTGAAGGCCTGCATGGATTCCATGTTCATCAGTTTGGAGATAATACACAAGGTGGGTGTTGTGCTGTGCTGGTGACCCATACTTGTTCAACCTAGTTAGATAAACAGTAGAGTAGCCCCTAAATGTTAAAACTCCTCAACTTGGTTTTGTTTTTGAGACAGGGTCTTGCTCTGTCACCCAGGCTGGAGTGCAGTGGTGCTGTGCGATCATGGCTCACCTTAGCCTCGACCTCCCAGGCTCCAGTTATCCTCATGCCTTGGCCTGTAGCTGGGACTACAGGCATACGCCACCACACCTGGCTACTTTCTGTATTTTTTTCTAGCCGTGGGGTTTCATGTTGTCCAGGCTAGTCTTGAACTGCTGGGCTCAAGTGGTTTATCCTCCTGCACCTCCCAAAGTGCTGGGATTACAGGTGTGAGCCACTGTGCCTGGCAAAACCCTCAACTTTTCTTTTAAAAAAAGAGGTCAACTTTATTGTATAAACACTGTGCTAAAATGGCAGAAACTAGGACCATATCTTGGTTTTTGTAATAATGCCAGCAGAGTATACACAAGAAGAAAAGTAACTGCACTAGATTGTGAAGACTGGGGTGGACCTGCTTCTTAATGCCCAGTGCCCTTTGTCTTAAGATTTGGTGTAGTATATCTTTAGAAACCAAAAAAAAAAAAAAAGTGAAGTTAAAATAACTTTGAAGATCAACCTTAAGATTAGCCACAAAACTGGTTTTTGTCACCTAGGTGTGGAAAAGAAAGGGAAAGAGTTGATGTTTTTTGTCTTATGGCATCATTGTAGAAGAGGATTTTTTTTTTTTTTTTGGAGACAAGTCTTACTCTGTCGCCCAGGCTGGAGCGCAGTGGCGCCATCTTGGCTCGCTGCAAGCTGTGCCTCCTGGGTTCACGCCATTCTCTTGCCTCAGCCTCCTGAGTAGCTGGGACTACAGGCGCCGCCACCACGCCTGGTTAATTTTTTTGTTTTTTTAGTAGAGATGGGGTTTCACTGTGTTAGCCAAGATGGTCTTGATCTCCTGACCTCGTGATCCACCCATCTCGGCCTCCCAAAGTGCTGGGATTACAGGCATGAGCCACTGTGCCCAGCCAGAAGAAAGTGTTTTTTAAAGAAGGCAATAGGAAATAACTTGGGTTCTTAACTTTTGTAATGATCCCAGGTGTTTGAGCTGGGGGTTGAGGGTGGGTGCCTCAAGCGAAGGGGCTGCATTCGTTTGCATAATGTCATGTAAGAGTAGCTCCACACCGCAAACACAGGCTCCTTAGTGGGACAAAAGTAGGATACAACCTGGAGATGGAATGCAGAGGATCACTGGTACTTTGGAATATGCTTAAAAAATTTTTTTAGTATTTTTAAAAAATCAGGCAGCCCCTGAACCTGAGTAGGTTCAGAGAAACTGCCAAGTTTTATATTCTTAATTTGGGATTGGAAGCAAGTTAACAAAAGTTTATGAGTTAAATTGCATTTAGTGGTCTTTTGCCATATTTGAGTTATCTGAATTTTTTGTTTATAGGTTTCTTCTTAAATTAACTTCATTCATCTTGCTAATTTAGTTTCAAATAGTGATTTGTAGTGATCAGATTTGATCCATTTCTGTAATTGCTGAAATTCCCCAAGTTGCTTTTTGGCTTCCCGCCTCTGGTTTGGGAGGTGATTGCGCTGCTGCTTCCTGTAACTTGCCTGCCTTTCTCCCCGTGTGGGACTCCTGGGGGTGAGAGGACTTGTTACGAAGGCAGCCGTGTTACGAAAGGGCCTCCTGTGCCGTCGAGGTTGTGCTCTGTGAATGTCATCCCCTGGCCCACAGGAGCACCTTCTATACAGGGTACAGTCGGAATGCCGCCCCCTGGAGTTGTGTAAGGCAGCAGCCTTGGCCCTTGCACATAAGATGCTGTTGAATATTCTGCCTGCACCAAGTAAAGGGCACAGGTAGAACTGCTTGGCAGTATGTTGCTGGGGAGATGAGTTTTTTGTAGTTAAAGTGTACTACATTCTTACAAATTTGGATCTTAACCATGGGATTTTAATGATAGAAAAACTGTTGAAGATGAGTCTGGTCCCTTATTGTACAGTGAAGCAGCAGAAGCCCCGAGGAAGGGTGTTGACTTTACGAGTGTCAGATAGTAGTTAGAACTTGCTTTTTTTTTTGAGACGCAGCCTTGCTCTGTTGCCTAGGCTGGAGTACAGTGGTGCAATCTCAGCTTACTGCAATCTCTGCCTCCCAGGTTCAAGCGATTCTCCTGCCTCTGCCTATCAGGTAGCTGGGACTACACGTGCACACCACCATGCCTAGCTAATTTTTGTATTTTTCAGTAGAGACAGGGTTTCGCCATGTTGGCCAGGCTGGTCTCAAACTCCTGACCTCAGATGATTCACCCACCTCAGCTTCCCAAAGTGCTGGGATTCCAGGTGTTAGCCACCATGCCCGGCCATAGACTTGTTTCTGTTCCCTTCTCACCATGCCTGTACCAAGGTGTTGCTTATCCCAGAAGTTGTGATGCAGGTCCCTGCTCTCTCCATGGGAAGTTTTAGCAATGTTTCTTTTTAGAATGTATTTGGGAACTTTAATTCATAATTTAGCTTTTTTTTTTTTTCTTTTTCTTGTAAATAGGCTGTACCAGTGCAGGTCCTCACTTTAATCCTCTATCCAGACAACACGGTGGGCCAAAGGATGAAGAGAGGTAACAAGATGCTTAACTCTTGTAATAATGGCGATAGCTTTCTGGAGTTCATATGGTATACTACTTGTAAATATGTGCTAAGATAATTCCGTGTTCTCCCCCACCTTTGTTTTTGAACTTGCTGACTCATCTAAACCCCTGCTCCCAAATGCTGGAATGCTTTTACTTCCTGGGCTTAAAGGAATTGACAAATGGGGACACTTAAAACGATTTGGTTTTATAGCATTTATTGAATATAGAACTAATACAGGTGCCAAAGGGGAACTTATACAGGAAATGTCATGAGTAACAGTACTGTCAACCACTAGCAGAATCAATCATCGTGAAACATAGGAAGCGTCTGTAGATAAAAAAAAAATTGATATTGAAAACTAGTCGAGACTCCATTTGTATGTGTATGTTTTCTGAAAGCCTTTCAGGAAAATACTAAATCTAAGGACAAGATTTTTATATCAGAGGCCTCGGGACATAGCTTTGTTAGCTATGCCAATAATTAACAGGCATAACTCAGTAACTGAGAGTCTACCCTTTGGTACTTCTGAAATGAGGTGCACCCCCATCTTTCTTCCCAGAGCATGAGTTTGTAGACTTGAAGCCTTGTTTGAAGAGCTGTGTTTAGAATGCCCAGCTACTTGTTTGCAAATTTGTGTTTGCTCAGTCAAGTTTTAATTTAGCTCATGAACTACCTTGATGTTCAGTGGAGTCAGCCCTAATCCATCTGATGCTTTTCCATTATTAGGCATGTTGGAGACCTGGGCAATGTGACTGCTGGCAAAGATGGTGTGGCCAAGGTGTCTTTCGAAGATTCTGTGATCTCGCTCTCAGGAGACCATTCCATCATTGGCCGCACATTGGTGGTGAGTTTTCATAAAAGGATCTACATAAAACTTCGTCTAACATACAGTCATGTATCTCTTCACTTTATGATTGTTAGTCGTGGTTTCTAAAGATCCAGATAAATTATACTTGCAGTTCAAATTAGGAAAAGCAATTTTATTGGACAATTATGGTGAAAATCAATTATTTTATCTGGGTCAGTCAAGAACACTGTTCTGCTAAGATGCAGTAGAAAGCAGGTTACATTTGACCATATTAGATCTGAGTTTGGAAAACAGAGTAGTCTTTAGTTTTAAAATGGCCAGATTTTCTTGCCAGGATTGGGTTTCTCACTTGTGAAACAGAACATTTTGTTAAGTTTAAAACCTGGGATGGACTTCAGTATTCATGTTCATCCAGGACTGCAGGTTATCATGACTTGTTTAACTTGTGGGAAGCTGTTGCCCCAAGTTATTCTGGGGAATGCATCTGGTTCATGCAAAACACCAGGTAGACTGGCTCTCTTTTACCTCCCTTTGAGGGCATTAACATTCATTAGTCACTTCCACTCAGTTAACCCTTTTATTTTTAAGGTTTTCTTGAGCCATAGTTGTAAAGCAGAAAAATTGTTTACAAAGGTTTGTTGAACAAAATTCAAAATACTGTTGCTAAAGTATTAAGGTTTTTTAGGATTATGTCTTATTTATAGGCCTGTCATTCATTTGGTATGAAATTTTGAGCGTTACTCACTTTCACTTTCCTTTTTTTCCAAAGCAATTAAATTGCCAAAGAGTGACTGCTGAACTACAGTTACTGTAACTTATCATGGAGGACTAAGGGTAGTGTGTGGTGGTCTACAACATAGTTATTTGGGTTTTTAGTATTTCATTTAGAGATAGCAACACTTACCTAATGTTTAAAGGTAATGTCTTTGCAACACCAAGAAAAAGCTTTGAATAGTAGTTTTTACTTTTAAACTACTAAGTATTAGTATATCTACTAGGATTAATGTTATTTTTCTAATATTATGAGGTTCTTAAACATCTTTTGGGTATTGTTGGGAGGAGGTAGTGATTACTTGACAGCCCAAAGTTATCTTCTTACAATTTTTTACAGGTCCATGAAAAAGCAGATGACTTGGGCAAAGGTGGAAATGAAGAAAGTAAAAAGACAGGAAACGCTGGAGGTCGTCTGGCTTGTGGTGTAATTGGGATCGCCCAATAAACATTCCCTTGGATGTAGTCTGAGGCCCATTAACTCATCTGTTATCCTGCTAGCTGTAGAAATGTATCTTGATAAACATTAAACACTGTAATCTTAAGAGTGTAATTGTGTGACGTTTGCTTAGTACCTGTAATGAGAAACTGGTTGATGATCACTTGGAAGATTTGTATAGTTTTATAAAACTCAATTAAAATGTCTGTTTCAATGACCTGTATTTTGCCAGACTTAATCACAGATGGGTATTAAACTTGTCAGAATTTCTTCAATTCTCATTCAAGCCTGTGAATAAAAACCCTGTATGGCACTCATTTTGAGTCTATTAAAAGAATCCAAGTTCAAACTAAATTAGCTCTGATACTTATTTATATAAACAGCTTCAGTGGAACAGATTTAGTAATGCTAACAGTGATAGCATTTTACTTTGAAAGTGTTTTGAGATCATCAAAATGCATACTTTTAAAACAGCAGGTCTTTTAGCTAATACGAACACAACTCTGCTTAGACAACAGGCTGTCCTTTGAAAGCTTTAGGGAAATGTTCTTGCTTAGTCATTTTAGCATTTTGATTCATAAAGTACCTCATTTTAAAAAGACGTTATCGTGTAAGAGAGCCATTTGATAACTTAGTGAGTTTAAAAGGCAAGTTACAGCCTCAGCTAGCTAATAAGATTATCTACCTGCCAGAATGGCACAAATTGTACATTCAAGGGTGGACGTTGGCACAACCTACTTAACAGATTAGCCCTTTAAAGAAATCTATAGCATTGGAAGATAGAACCAAGGAAATGTTTGACTGTGGGTTCTGGCTGTTTATTAATTTACACACCGAATTAGTGAAATGAGTCACTTTCAATGTATTTACGTACCTGAGAGAGAGTGCTTTTAAATGTTATTGACTATTCAATTGGAAATTGTAAATTGTAGAATATTTCTGATAAACCATGAATAAGTGACAATCTGTTCATAAATACGTACTTTATCAAATGTAGGAGAGGAAAAGCTAAATTGGGAAGACAAATCTGTAGTGTTTCCAAAGTTTTAAAATTATGTTAAAGAACAATATGCTTACAGTAAGTGGTTAAAACCACCATTCTTTAAATCTCGGTAATGTTTAAAAAACACTATTTAACCCATTTCCCTGATGTAGTTTGTTGCCTATGTGGAATTAGAGACTCACGCCTTTCAAACTTCAAATATAATCATGCTACCAGTTAGGAGTAGTCATTTCATGTGCATATAGGATGCTCTTAAGTTGGAAATACAGGCTGTAAGTCCTTCAAGTCTGGATGTTGAGTAATCACGTTTTCTTCCAGAAGCCATTTGTTAGGACTTTTTTTTGGGCCAGTGTAAAATTAAGGACAAGTTTTATAATTTAAATTTACAGATACAACAATTTTCTCTCATTTTCTAAAGGCAGGAATATAAGGACATTGCCCTAGATATATTCTCCCCATCAAACCAAAGGCCTTGCTGCTGAGTATTATTTAAAAACCAGAGTAATAAAGCAGCTTTGCCTGAGGATGACGGCAAAGACAAAGTTAACTGCTAAGCATACTGAAACCAAGAGTTTAAAAAAGTAATTCAAAACAACTTGAAGGCCATAAATATTTGGATAGTGTGACATCAGGTCTTGGCACTGGATTTCCTGCAATTTCAGATAAAGGCTTGACTTGGCTTTGGATGTCTTCATGTAATTCTTGGATAACCTACAACAATTTTTCCTAGTTAACCCACCAACTTTAAGCAAAAGAAAAAAAGTGTATGTGGGGGAAAAGTTCAGTTTACCTCTGCCCAGCAGGGGAATTAAAAAACTGGTAAAGAAAGGCAATAGGCAAGGCTTATATAAGGAAACAATAATAGGTTGCACTGAAGTCCTCAAACACAACAAAAAGCTTTTAGATTGCAAATGTTAACCTTGATTCTTTTACCCTTTTGAAGAATTCAGTGGGATGGTTGGAAAAAAAAAAACAACACACACACACATGCAACCTTCTAACGTAATACCCACGCAGTCAGATAATTTATAGTACAACATGTAACACTGGAATTAACTTTTCCCCCAGCAAAATCTTACAAATTAATTAGGGCAACATATACCACAAAGCCAATGGGGAAAAAAAAAAACCTCGATTGAATTGCAAACACAGCTTTTCAATTGACATTAAAACAACTAACCTTTACCTTATGACTGAAACACTAAAATTCAAAAGTATTACATATGAAAGTGAGAATAACTACATAAAATGTCTATTTTCATCAAATAAGTCTAATTTAGACTCCAATACAGTATTAACAGCTCAAACTTTGATGGTGAACAATCCTTTTCCACCTTAATGCAGTGTAGGAAGAATAGCACACATTAAAGTTTGTTACGAAAATAGAGTTTATTAAAAACATCCCTATTGTTTTGAGGAGCTTTCACCGTTACCTTGTCTTAAATTAAAAAAAAAAAAAAATAGAGAGCACTTCTAATTACGATTTGTAAACTTTTTAAAGTCAAAACTTTTAAAAAGTTACAGCAAAAAGGGTAATATTTATTCATATTTTCAGTATTTTTTGTTATTTTGTGGCTATTTTTAAATAGAAGGGAAGCAATCAAATTGCTTACAGTTCCCCACCAGCTGGCGCGGGGCTGCAGTACAGCGGGAGCGGATATAATACAGCATCTGTACACCTCAAGCTCTACACTCCAGAAGTGTCACTGTCACATTTTCACAAATTCCAGTCTCTTAACGAGGAGCCTCTGCTGCTGAGCCAGAATCCTTTTCGGGTTCAACGGATGAGGTAGCCTCAGCAGGTAACTCTTCAGAAGGCTTTAGGACTGCAGCCTCAGACTCCCCCTTCTCAAGTTCTGAAGCAGTGTCTACATTTCCCACTTGGCTAATGGGAGGTTCAACGGTTTTGTTACCACCTGCCCTGTCTGTCACCTCCGGCTTTTCCTTTCCTCGTGCTTCTTCCTTCTCTCTACGAGACTCTCTATCTCTAGAATCTCTCTCTCTGTCTCGATGCCCACTAGAGCGTCTATTTCTCTCTTCCAAGTCTCTGTGCCTGTCCCGGTCAGGGCTCCTCCTTCCCCACTCTCTCCTGTCACGGTTACTATTATCTCTATCATCATTACGGTTCCCATACCGTTCCCGGTCATTTTCCACCCTATTTCCGAAAGATCTTCTTCCAAACCTTTCTTGGTCTCTACCTGAATTGAACTGCTGTCTGTTATCATTTCTAAACTGCTGTGGCTGCTGCTGTGTTGGTGGAGGCTGTTGTGATGGTGGCGGCTGCTGCTGCTGCTGCTGCTGCTGCTGCTGTTGCTGGGGCGGCTGCGGCTGCGGCTGCTGCTGCTGCTGCTGTTGCTGTTGCGGCGGCTGTTGCCTTCCGTCTCTGTCTTCAGGACCCCCTGGGCCTGGCCCTGGGCCCCCGAGCCCTGGCATTCCACCAGGCCTAACGAACGGGCCATGTGGTGGGAAGGGACCTTTCATTCCATGAGGTGGGGGCATCGCAAAGCCCCCTGGTCCTGGCGGCGGGCCTCTGTGCATCATGTGCGGTGGCATGGGACGGGGCGGCATCAAAGGGAACCGCTGTAAGTGAGGTGGGGGCATTCCCGGAGGGCGCTGGAGTGGGATGAGACCGGGCCGGGCGCCAAGAAGACCAGTAGATGGTGCCTGAAGTCCAATTACAGGACCAGGGGCAACTCCTTGAGTGCCTAAAAGACGACAAAAATAAAAACGTCAACACCACAGAAGATGGCACTCCAGTTTCAGCTGTGTTCTGTGGAGCTTAAAGCAAAATCAAATTCAACCCACAATCTTCAAATTTCATACTGTGGGCCAGTCTACCCGTCACAAACCCAGTGTGAGGCCTAGTAACAACCTAAGGCAAGCAACTGCAAAGAGATTTTTAAAGTATCGAATACAGGTAAGGGCCAGAATAAACTGGAAAATAAAATAGTAATGGTAATACCAATTTCCAAAGCCTATGTCAGAATCTCCTGTAGCTTTCATCAGAAGCTGTTTCCAACTCCAAATACATTTCAGAAACACAATGTGCTAAGTCCTCATGAGATGAACATTCACCATCAGTAACTATTCAAGCTAACTAAGCAGACGGCAGGGGCACACAGAAAACTTACACCCTAGGTCTTCTTACTACTAGAAAAAAATGAGGTCACTGACCTAGAAAACCCAGTAAAGAGGAAGATCTCTTTGATTCCATGCTACACTTAGTCCATATTATTAAAATGCCTCATGCAGTTACTATGCACTGTGCATCAATTAAACACTAATGTCTACAAAACAAAGATCCATACGCAAACGTGAAGTTTATTGTCACAGTTCCTTTTTCAAGGCACAGCACAGTATCTAACTTGCGAGGTCATCATGACCTGAATAATGCTCAATGTTCAGCTATTCGCCTTCTATTCATTCTTTCTATTCATTCTTCCAAAGGTGGCAAGTCTGGTAAGGTTGGTGCTGCTGAAATAACAGTGACTTCGTGGGTTTTATTTTCCCATCTACATGAGGGTTTGCTCATACTGATATAAGAGTCACATAAGTTCAAAAACCTATCTTTTTCTGCTTGGGGTTTACCACTTAGGTAACAAAAGCACTGGAATCTCTCAATTTATTCCTTTGCAAATATAAATATTACAAGACAAATACCATAATACTATGACTGAAAGGAGTTATTCTGATAATGGAAAATGTTCCAGATACTGTTAAGAATATGCTGTTTACCCATGTGCTGCAGAAAGGTCTTTGGGCAAGTTATGGCAATGGTAAGAAAAATACTTGGGTGACACTGACAGAAAAATGACCAATACTTTAGTACTAGTTTCTTTCTTTCTTCCCCAACATCATGTTATTTAGGTTTACAATTTGAATAAACTTCTTCCGACCTACTTCAGCAAATTTAGCAAAAGTCCTGTTTCTAGATTTTATGTACTAATAATTATATCATGCTAAACAAGAACATCTACTTTAGTTTTTGCTACCCACAACGTGTTGT